GCGCGTTTTATGCAAAAGCAGTTGCCTCTGGGATAAAAAATAAATTGGGAAGGCGCGCGCGCGCGAGCGCGCGCACAAGTACGAATAATAAAAAAGTTCCAAGTGTTTGGAAGTAAAGCACGAGCCAATACGGCTAGGCGTCGCTCACGGGTCACGATGGGCGCTCGCTCTTCAAACGAATGTCTTTTAATTAGAGGAGAACGAGAATTTACAAAACGTGACGTAGCACTTCGTGCCTAGGCGTACCTTAGCTTTCAAATGTATAACGCGACCTCGGTGGTGTGCTCTTTCTCTTCCTTTTTTCCTTCTCACTGGTGCGCACGCCACCGCGTGGCGTATTCGCGTTATACGTACACGAATAAAATGCGCTAGCCATCCTCTTTAACACATCAGGGACAATGCATTCCACGTAGCCATCATAACCCACGTAAGGTACGGCTTGCCATAATAAAAGCCCAGAGAGGCTGTCCAAACGATCCCCTTCGAGCCACCTTGCGCTGAAATAGACGTAACCCAGTTTAAAAGCAAAGTGGGAGGGGGAAAAAAGAAAAGATAGCGCGGCATACATTCGAGCCTGCACTAGATATGAGGTCGTCGATACCAGCGACGCTCACGAATCTATTAATCTGGGATTTCTTCTTTACTGTATTGCACTGAACGAAAACCTCTGCGTGCGCGGATTGTGCATTATCCGCGCGATTGTTTCCGACTGGTGACGCTATCGCACGATTTGTAAGTAACTGAGCGTCGTCTTGATAAAATTAATTGCGCAAACTGAACGGATCGGTCTCATTTGCAATTTTAAAGATCGCGTCGACGATTACCGCTGCCTCGAGGCGAGAGGCAATCGATCGATTAGTAGTAGTAGTAGCTGCAGCGACAGCGACGGTAGCAACACCGACGCCAATGGACGCGGACAAATTTGCATTCTGTCGCCATCGACGGCACGGAAACGAGAGCGAGAGGACGAATAGGCGAAAAAGGCTGACAAGAGAGAAAAAAAGGAGAGAAGCTTGAAATATTTAAGGCAGAGTCATTTCGTCGGCGCTCCCAGGTCGGAAGGCGGAGTGATTCGAGGCAGAGTGATTGACAGCGCTCGCAGTTTGCACATTAGGGGGCGAAAGTGGCGGGACGAACGCAGCGGAAGCGGAAGATAATGGAGCGCCGTGCGCATTACGGCGATGTCATAAATCGCGACGTTGTAAAGCGCGCGTTCGTCCCATGTAAATCATGTTCTGTACGCTAAACCAAAATTACATGGCACTTGGCGCGTACACACGCCTCGACGTATATTCCTAGCCTTTTTATTATGTGTTACGCACTCTTGTTGTCACGCGCGCGCGCGCGTGACAAAAATACGCGACGATCGCACCGGATTCACGTTTGTATGCGCGAACGAAGATTCACAAATCGTCATGTGCGTTCAACGTCTCATTTCGCAAAGTGTAAATCTGTCGGGCAGATTGGCCGGAAATCACGTGTAACGGGGCCCCTCCAACGCAAAAGAAGATAAATATCAATCCGAATGCGCGCCACCACCGACTTTCCCCACCGTCGTCGTCGTTGAATAATCCGCGCGGATTTCCTGTCATAAAGTATAACTCATACGTGTGTGAAATGCGCCAAGGCCAAATCGAGAAACGCCTGCTCCGACGCACTCGTCACATCCAGCCGGGGGAATCGGAGAGGAAAGGCGCGTATTTGGCACGCGGTTTCCATTTCGCTCGGTCCCGCGATCGCATAGAAACGTGCGAACGCCAGGCCGCGCTATATGGCCACGCCATGGACAATGAATTTCAGACGCTCCGTTGACGCACTCGCGGTGCGAGTATTTCATGGCTGACTATGCTCGGACGTGAGACATATTGCCGTTCTCGACTGGTGGATTTCAATGCAGATTTTATGTTCGTGTGGTAGACACGCATCAGCGGTTTTGGAAAAGCGCGTCAGATATCGGTCAGCCGAGCTGGGCGGACGAGCGAGCGAGTTCTGCCGCGATTTTTTTAGAAAATATCCAAAAATTGATGCGAGTTTGCATCTTTAAAAATTACAGATATGCACGTAATCTCACGTTGTCTCGCATTGCTCTGCGTATCATCCTGCTAATTATATACATATAAAGTAGAATGTCTATATGTCCCTTATTAATTCCTAAACCCTTTGACCGATCTGGAACAAATTTTGTGTAATTGCTATCTAAGATTTTACAGAAAATATAAGACATGAAATCTGGATATTTTGTGCTGCCATTTCGATATATGTTTAAATTATGCGCCATACAAATATTTTTAACGTTTAAAGATAACTCATTCCGTTGCTAAAAAAACATTCCTGAAATTCACTTTCTCGGCTTTCCAAGATGGCATAGATCCGATGATCTAAATGGTCTCAGGAGTATGCTGCGAATGAAATTTCTTGTAAGTGTATGAGATATACTGTTTCGGATAATAAAAGCAATTTTCATTCACAAAATAATTGAAATCAAGCATATGAGTGACTGAAGTAAAGTTAGTCCATAATTAAAAGCCGCCAGGCGGGCTGTAGAGACTTCTCGCGGAAATCCCGGAACTATTAACCGGAATACGTATATTTTATATATGATCTTCTTTACTTTGCGCTATACTGGACAACTAAACTCAGTATCAAGATGGCCAACGCAAGATGACCATATTATTACATGTTTGAATTTTAGTTTACAAAATAAAATATAGAATCATGGCGGGCATTAATATATGAAAAAGCTTGTCTTTAAATTACACAGAATGTTTACACAGTCAGTTACAAAAATTAGTCTGGGAAGTTATAACTTTGAAATTCTATTATATGGGACATCTAGAAGAACTAAATCAAGTAAAGTCACGATAATCCAATTGGCAACAAAAGGAGAAACTCAGGGGAGAACAGGCGTAATGGCGAAATAGATAAATATCGGGAAGCGGCAGAACAAAGTGGTGGAAGGTTCGAAGAAAGATTAAAGAGGGGATTTTGTAAGTAGACGCGAGAATTTGCTCCTGGTCTATCGGGGGTAGCGGGGTTTCTCGGGGGTGGCTTTGTCGGGCGAATTCTTGCGGTTTCGGAGCAATTACCTTGACTGAACGTTAACGATCGTTCGTAAATCAGGATAGGATAGTACGGTAGCGGCTATTCTAGCGGTGATGAGAGCACGACGGTAGTCATCGCTCGGGCACCGAGCTACACGAACACTAAATCTCATTTCGAAATATTTTTTTCTTCCTTTCTTCTAGCGTTCTCTTACGTATAGAGGAAACTCTTTTATCAAATATGCAAAATGTCTGGTAACTAAAAATTTTATGTGATTGTTTGCGGAATGATAAATGAATTTTTTGTTCAGTTTGATGAATTCCATCTGCACACAACGAGTGTGTCGGATTACATTAATTGCCAGATAATCTGTACGTTGTTTTCTTTCTCATCGATCTTCAGAAAACAACATAAATTCCGGCAATTATCAAAATAACAATTGACGGCACGACGTTTCGCTGGAATTTTCATCGTTACTTCGCGATTAATATTGCAAATTCCTCAAGCTTTTCCAGACGTATTTTCCTGGATAAACTTCAAGCGCTTTTTATTTCTGAAAGCACGGACAATTTTGCGCTTGAAAAACGAAAATGAACATAAAATGCCGTCTTTGAAAGGGGCTCAGATATTGTCATCACGACGAGCGCGACGGCAAAGCGCTAAGTCGCTTTTGTATACACGACAATTCTAGCTTAATGCAAAATGCACGTGCAATTGTATGTCGACAAAGTGCTCAATGGTAGGACTCATCCGACGGAAACTCGTCGGATTTGAGGATCCAATGACGCTTTGTCATTAAAGTCATTACGTCATCTATCAATAGGTACCTCCTAAGCCTGCTGGGTCCGCAATTCAATGCCAACAAAGCCGCATTTACCGATTGTACTATGCCTCACAATAACCGGCTATGCAGAAACGTTTGAATGGCAACAATGTCCGACTACGGTTTGTGGTAGAGTCGCCGATTTCTCTGTGTGTTACCATTACTGCACATTACCGCATTACTTGATCCAAGTCGTCTCTATTGGATGAAAATATATTTTGTTCCTGCGAAAATTCGTTCCGCTTCTGTGTATGTATACGCGTGCGCGTGACTTCAGAGTAATTAAATTTTCACAAACGTGTTTTGTTCCTATAATTTCTTGACATTCGCAGCTTTCAGCAATTCATCGTAATTCTCAGCAAGGATTCCTTTGAGCTTTTCGCTTCTCGTTAGCCTGACTGCTCGGTAAACGGCCTTTGTGCGAGTAATGAACGTCTATGATTCCATTCTGCTTAGCTCGGACGTATTATAAATCCGGGTAATAGTACGTGCAATTTCAATCATGCCGCCAAATTCACCGATGATCACTCGATTACGCATCCAATTTGGCCACACCGCTGTCGAATGATAGATTAAAGGCCAGAGGAGGGAGAAATTAAAGCGAGAGTCTCTACGAAACGCTCTTTGCGTGCAGCAAAGATGGAACCTTATCACGCGGCAATTTTTGAACACCGCCCGACATTCCAGAGAACACCTGCAAAGTTTTACTCGCCACATTTACATACGCGTAACAGTTATTTCGTGCGAGCGGAGTGAGCTCCCCGGTATTAAATGCAAAATCATAACGCTTACGCCAACTAAGATAATCTTTAGCGCAGGAGAAGATGGCGTCGTTTATTTTCCATCACGACATTAATTAAGAAATTCACGCCTCAGAAAGACATTCACTTATCGGTAGGGGAGAATGAATCCATGCGATAACTTGGCAAACATTATAAAGAAGATAAATCAATTGTCGCGGCGCGCGCGCGAAAGATTTTCAGCGTCGGAAGGCTCTAATTGCCCTCGGAGCGTAACGGATTACACGCGTTTTCGCGGTGTCGCATGACATACCGGTCACCGGCCGGAAAACAAAAGGCCGCAGTGATGGATGGGTTCCAGACGATTGAAGCGGCAGGCCGGTTTTCTGTTTCAGGTGGCATGGCTGCGGGTGGACACGCAAACCATCCTGACGATAGCCAATCACGTGATAACGAAGAATCACAGAATCGGCGTCACGCACAGCGAGCACAAAACGTGGCATCTACACATACGTGATGTCCGCCAGAGCGACCGGGGCAACTACATGTGCCAGATAAACACTGACCCGATGAAGAGTCAGATTGGTTATTTGGAGGTTGTAGGTTCGTCCATTGTGCCTCACGCACCGAATTAATATTGCGGCCGGAAGTCCGGAGGCTGCATTCCGATAGAAAAACAACACGAAAAAAACTGCAAAGAGCGGAACCTTTGTGTGTGTGTGTTTTTTTTTTTTTGCTAAATTTGCGTGTTCAGTTCGAGAGTTGAATAACGCCATAGGCAACGGCGGCGACGGGAGGGATAAAGAGAGAAGGGTAGAAACAGAACGCGGACGACTAGGGAAATCAAGTTCGTTTTGGGTTTCGCTCGTGGCGGATTTCACTCTTTTGAGAATGCGGCGCGCGCCATGATGTTTAAACTACCGGAAAAACGGTACAACAATAAAAATATCGTTTCGCCCGATCTATCATATCTCTCGACGCTCTCGCGCTTCTCGTATTTTCCGCTTCCGTTCGACTCCGATTATGGTATCGTTCTACCATCGACGCGAATCATATCCGCGGCAGGATGTGCCTGAGCGCAGATGCTGATCGCTGATTTTTATCCGACAGTTCCACCGGATATCTCGGACGACTCGACCAGCACAGACATGGTGGTCAGAGAAGGCAGTAACGTTTCGCTGCGTTGCGAAGCAACAGGCTCACCAAAGCCAAACATCACCTGGAGGAGGGAAGACGGCGAGTTGATTAGTCTGGGAAAGAATCTGGAAGGTAAACTACATACAAGCTGTCATAACAGTCCCGAGAACGAGAAAGCTTAACGGTCCGTTAAAATAACTTGGTAATTTTATCTTCTGAAGCAGCTCGCGCTGCAATAAGAGAGCGAAGGAGAGAGGCTGCTTTGTGGAATCCAATGTGTGTGTTTATAAGATAGAATAACATTTCATCCCTTCTTCCTTAAATACGTTATTCTAAATCCTGGTAATTACATGCACCTTTAGAGATTTCATAGAATTCCCGTGTTGCGACGTGCAAATAGCAATTTAACGATTCTCTCGGATAACCACGTTTCAATCACTTTCGATGTGTTCGTCGAATTCCCCGGGCGCGCGCGCGCGACGGGCCATTTTCCATAATTCGCACACGTAAACGGCAGGTGAGGGGGAGGACGAAAATTCATGGCCGTTCCCGACAACGACGGTACTTATATGATTCGCATCGCTCATCTTGAAAATCGCTGTAGGAAAAGCGGCCGCGCACGCGCGCTCGCACAAACGAGCGAGCCGAGCGAACGCGAGCTAGCACACCTGAAACACCGGATTCACTCAACGTGGGGACGACGATTTATCATTCCGTCTCTCGGACTTTATTCAGATGACTACGTTGCGTGATGCAATTGCATTCGAAGCTGCCGATGCGACCGTGTCGGTGACGTCAAAGTGAAATATGCGTTTCAGCCCTTATGCGCCCCGCACAATAATAACGCCAAGGAAAATCGCGTGTCCTCGTTCGCACCTGTTCGAACAACGGCGACTTTATTTCGCGGGTACAATAACAATTTATCATCCTTTTGTCTTTGAAACTTATTGAGCCGTCTCCCGCCTCTCTCTCTCTCTCTCTCTCTCTCTCTCTCTCTCTCTCCATGCAGTTCCGTTAAATATTTGCTTCCCTTTGTGTACACTTTATGCACCTGTCCCCGCGTGGAGTCACCCGTGATAATTTATAAGGATAAGCGGCATCGTCGTCGTCGTCGTCGTTGCGTTGACGACGACGACCTTTTTGCTGGCACCTTTTTCGAGTTTGACCTTGTTCTCCGTAAAGAGAGACGAATGTATGTATATTTCAACCGAGTAATTTATTCTATAAGAGACAAAATATTTCGGTCCGCGGAGGCTTTTATGCAAATGTCCCTTGTCGCTGACCCGCGTGAAAGTAATAACGCGAAAACACGAGGAAACACGATTCGCGACGTGTCCGTCCACTCGTCGCCGTAAATAACGATCACTTATTGTTTACGTTGCTTGTGTATATTCGGTAATTCATCGCGCGATAATCTTGTGATTTTTCAACGTATTTTTGATCCGCGCTAATGCCGTTTAAACACACACCGCCCGTCATAATGACTCGCTGATGCGGATACAATATCTATTTATCATACCTATTGTCTCCCCCAAATTTATTGAACCGTCGTTTTGCATAATGCCGTTCTGCTGACAGCGAAAACATTTATTCCGCTACGCGTGCAGTTTATTCGCGCGCTTCATTTAACATCATCTGCCAACCATTTCAAATGTCCGGCCATCGAAATTTATTATCCTTTCGTTAGCGTTTATCCCGCGCTGTTTCCGATATAGCATATTTGTTATTAAAATCTACAACGTCACTCGAGATGATATCTTTTGCAATATCCGATTATCCGCGAATTATACCGAGCTCATCAAGAAATTTCAACCTTCAGCTTCCCCGAGATCCCGGCAAATATTTCAATCGTGCTCTCGACATCGCTTTTTTTTCCCTTTTCTTTTCTCCCTTTGTCCCCCTCCTTGCGATCGCGCACTCCTTCACTTGATACGCGTGCAATTTTCTTTCACTCGTCCGTTCCTTCGGGAAGAAGATACGTCTACGACAGTCTGCTCGTTCACGTTCTTTCTTTGACTTTCTCAATTTTTTAGTCAATAAGTAGTAAGTTTCCCTTTCGCGACTTCTCTCTTTCACCCTACTTGTTTGACTTACGAACGTGCACGCTTCTTTTGCGACCATGAAAACTCTCTCTTGAACTCCACCTTACTCGCTTTATTTCCATTTCAATCTTTGCTCTGTACTTGTGCGAACAGTTTCGTTCCCTTCCATTTTTACTTCTTAAGGGAAGATCCTGTTTTTATTCACTCACTCTTCTCGAATTTTAAAGGTCCCCCGACGCGTGCACGAACTTGTCGCTCTTTAATTCACAAATATGGCTATTCTTTGTCCTGACGCGTTCCATTCTCTTCTTATTTCTCCATTCTTCTTTTCCTAATACTTTTGTCCGTTTCATCGCGTCCACAACGTCTTCATCGCTCAGGTATTGTTTCCGGCGATCCATACTTTAATTAACGAATTCTTCCTCGTCTTTTCCTTCTGCCGCGCTCGCATAGCTTCGCACTGCAGTTTCCACTTCACGATTGCCCGTTTCTCTTGCCCGCCAAAGTCCCTCTCTTCTTCTTATCCTGCTCTTTTTCTCACGGCAATCACGAACAGTCACGACAATCCACCCTTCTCGACGTGCGCTTCAACTTCTCGCATTCTGGCATCCTTTTTCACTCGTGAGCTCTTTCCGTTCTTCCGGCTGCCTTTTTCGCTCACGAGTAAACGCCCACCCTGTCCTCTCCCTTGCAGCCCACCCCTTATTCCGTCGGCCCTCACGCACTCGCTCTCCATCACGAACACTCTGTTCTCGCTCATGTATGCGTGAACAAAATCCCAGATAAACCGCCAAACCTATTTGCCGGAAACTGTCCGCAAATACTAGCGGGGAAATAAAGTTTCACCGGTCGCGGAGTAGAGAGAAGTTTCGGGGACCTTTGTGCGCCGTCGATCGCTACAGGGGATACTTTCCAGTCCACACTTTTCCAGACTCCGTCCGAAGTTGGCTGCGGCTCTATCGTGATGTCTCTTCTCGACTTTTTTGTAATTTATATACCAATAAATATTTATGGCTCTTTGTGATGTTCGCTAGACGGAGATTACCGCGATGAAACCGCGTTTATATAAAATCGGTGCCGGCGCCGATCGACTGTCACATCGTAAATTATTAGAAGCTCAATCCACACGTGCACGTTGCTACACGCGGTCGCCGCCGCACTGCGAATTCATAAATAGACCGTTCCCCCGATTTATCATTAATTACGTGCGTTATCTATGCGCAAATAATATCCCCGCGATCGATTCTCGCGCCCCGTCGAAGATGACAATTTATGTCTGCCGATGTGCAATGCGACGCGGGACTAAACCGCGCGGCGAAGAGGCAACGGAAAAGTCACGAAATATTCGGTCAGAACTGACCGCAACCAATTTAATTACTTCATTAGTCGGAAAAGCCGCGTTAGCTTAATTCGAAAATCTGGTGCGGGGAAATGTGAATTGTAAAATGTATTAAACGTAGTCGGCGTTATGTCGCTCCCTCTCTTTCCCTCGGGCTGTTTTCCTTTTTCCCCTCCATGTTCTTCCCTTTTTTTCCCCTCGCCGCGGCGACGGTCGTATAAATCGGCACTCGCAACTAATTAACTAAAGAGCCCGTGCTCGCGTGGTCCGACCGCTGGTTTACAGCTTATCTCGTATGCAGGTGATTTCAGGCCGAGTCAGCAGGCGTTTCAATAACATAAATCGTCTTGCACAGAGATTAAACGGTGGAGCCGACGAAGTCGTTTCTCAACGACTCGAAAATTCATTTCCTCTGAAAATATCAAGTTTTTTTGACTAAAATAAACGCGCGCGCATTTTATCCTTTAGAGTTTATTTTTCTGTCTATGTCTGTAAATATTTGAGATCACAAATACGACTTCTGAACGACAAATATCATTTTGAATAGGTACACGGAACTCTATGAAGGTTTAATGCGACAATTTATCTGACCGTATTCTGCTAGCTAGATGCGCAGCGTGGGTATCTCTGAAAGTTAAGGATAACACGCGAGTTTTAAGGAACGAACGTTCAACGCGACCTGTGACGGTTGCTACTGCTGTTGTTGCTTTTGCTGTTGCGACCATAACGGAGAACCCTTGTTCGGCTTACGTCGGGAGACTTAAGAAATGCAAGCGGACGAGTTGCAGAGACGCGCGACGTCTCCCACCGGTGGAATTCCCCCTAACTTGGAAATTTCATGCAGCGCGTTTTGTCTCACGTACCAGGTGGGAGGAGATGTACCTCTAATCTACATCCGTTAACTTCGCGACTTACGGATCCACCGGCTTTTCAGATGTCGCAGCCATTTTTACGAAAGCAGCAACGTACCGCTCGCGGAGATAAAAAAAATTCCGTACGTTTAATTAACAAAGCACAGCTGCGCGTTTTCTAATGGGGCCAACCGGGGAAAAAGGATAAACTCATTGGTATGCGGCATCCGTGTGTAGGATCTCGTTAGAAAAATTATTTCGCGTTAAATTGAATTTTCCCCGCGAAACTATCGGGCAACATTATTAAGCGTAATTAAAGCAACGAAACGATCGTGAAGGCTTTTGCAAAGTAGTTCGCGCCAGAGGACGCGTCGTTTGTATCATTCGTACTCGATGGGTATCGATTTTATCGCGATTATTCGCAGTGAAGAGCGATAGAGAGCCAAGTGCAAGTAGTTGCTGCCACACCGAGACTACATTTATAATATCCGGGAGAGAAACTCAAGTAAGATATATGTTGACAAGAAACAACCGACAAGTGTTTCGCTTCTGGTACAAGGTCGGTTTTGCAAGCGGTATGTGCGCGAAGCGTCCAGCGTTAACGGAGATTAGACCGCGCAGCAAGAACGCTAGCGCGGTGATTAGTATCGGTTACGCAGAAGTACAAAGCAACCCAGTCGACGTGTATTAATTCAAATCCTGATTGCGGAATTTTTTGCCGGGTCTGATGAAAATTTCTTACCGGAACGTTACACGTCTGCCTCGTTCGATCCGGCTTATATGACTCGTTGCAACACCAAACACGGAAGAAACGGAAGCAAATCGATAGCGAACTCGAGGGAAGAGATGGATCGTCCATTGATTTCGCAACCGTAACATCCGCGAGTGTCAATCATTTAGCGACACTTAATCTCTCAATAATTCTTTCGTTAATTGACATTGGCAATAATCTGATGTGACGAATGTACCCATTTCATGATGCAAATGGCGTAATGGCTCACCATCTGTTGCAGTGCCGAGCATTGAAGGATCGATCTTCAATATCACAAAAGTGAACAGATTGCAAATGGGAGCTTATCTCTGCATCGCATCTAATGGCGTGCCGCCGACGGTCAGCAAGAGAATTATGCTCGTTGTACATTGTAAGTATTTAAGCGCAGAAATGTATTTCTCTTCTTTTGCAAAGAAACATCTCTAAATATCCTCCGCCAAGACAATTTTCCGAATTTCTTTCGAGGGGTTGTTTCAACCCTCATATAAAAAAGCTCATAAAAAACACCTGCTTCCGAAGACACTTTCATACAATTCCTTGTTGTTTCGATACAAGGAGAATTTTATAGTAAAAATTACTGTAGAATTTTGTACGGAAACGCAGGTCAACATTATACAGTAATTATTCTTTTTTCATATCTACGGTTTATACATTTTAGAGACTCAAGTGTGCTACTATTTACAATGTTTCTTAATAAGACAGACGTTACAGTTTATTTCTACACTATCAGACAGACAGTAAAATTGAAAAAAATTTATATAAAAAAAACTATAATATATTCTCTCCGCGATCGTACAAACATCTAATTTAATTAATTCAGCAACTCATTTATATATAATAAAAACACTCTCACTTTGTTCTCAATGTTAACAGTTACTCCAATGATTTCGATCCAGAACCAATTAGTGGGCGCTCAAGAAGGCCAACAAATGACGTTAGAATGTTACTCTGAAGCATATCCGAAATCCATCAATTATTGGACAAGAGAGGATGTCATTATATCAAACGGTACGTTCGCAAATTCATGGTAACTTATGCGAATCAAAGCGTCCGATCCGAACAAAAAAAAATCGATCGAAAAGTTTCTCGGAAAGTATTATTCGGAGCGGAGGTGAGCCCGATGAGAGAATTATACGCGGCGAGACTGTCTACGTTAATTCTATCAATGATATCGCTAATTCTTCCAACATCGACAGTAATTGTTACGGTGGCAGCAATAATAACGTATCTATAGAACGCCACTTCCGTGCATACCACATGCGTGTCCTCCTACCCGGCCATAATTTAATGAATGATAATCAAACTCCGCTTCACCGACATACTTAACCGTACTTTATTAACCGACAATACACGACCTGGTTTGCTCGTCGAATCTATTTATGTCAGAACGCTAGAATTTAAAGGTCGTTATGAACGGTTAACATCCTGACAGGCTCGCCAATGCGATATTGCCCTCTGGAAATATATTAAATCAAGAGAAAAATGATCTAATGAGAGAGAGAGAGAAAGAGAGAGAGAAAAGAAAAAATATACGCATTAAGTTTCAAACATACGATTTTAAGTAGAAAACCTAAAATTTTTCCAACATTTTTTCTGGTATCAAGTCAGTTGCAGCAGTACGAAAAAAATGTAGGGAGGTTAAACGTACTTGGAGAAGAAGAGAATCGTAATTGTGGGACAAAACTACGGCCAAGTTAAATGTCCCATTTTGTGATATTCAAAATCTTAATTTTTTTTTTATTTTTTGATAAAGTTATAGTTATTGACTGATAGATTAGAAACATGTAAGTATCAAAAAGATGCGTCTCACTATTTGGAAGATGGGCCACATATTCTGTCCAAGTAAATAGTATCGTCAGAATCCTTACGTATATAAGTAATGTTGCAAGAAATGGGATGGAAGCTTACGAGAGCTCAGACGTTCTCTTTGGATATTCGGGATTTGTGCTGAATCCGGGAAAACCTTGGGAAACTTCAATGCGGCTTTAATTTACAAAGCACGTGCTCGAGGCGATCAACGAGCCAGCCGTTTAACACACAAACGAACGTCTGCCGTGCTGGCGTACGCACGCATACATCGTTTGCGGCAAATCAGACCTGACAATGCAAGCAACGCGCACATCGGGTGCGACGTGTTGCCGAAAAGCGGCGCGAGCCGCATGTACGCATAATTATTTCGGATAATCAGACATGACGCCGGTGCGGCGCGTTCGTGTAGTAACCAGTAAGCGAGTAATGTACCTTCGGATCCATTAATGCGCAGCAGGCCGACTCTAGGACGCGGATGCACGGAAGGCCGTCTCCGCGTCCGGAACGCGCGGATGCGCGGCGGACCGACTACTCCGCATCCGGGGCGCGCGGGTAAGAACGGGTGCAGTGTGCGAGAGATGCGGACGCCGTGTCTGCAGCTGCTAATCGCGCAGCTAATTAGGTTAATTTCGGATCACTTCTGCCGGCGCACCTGCAGCGCGACGCCAAGCGACGTGGAGCGACGCGAGGCGAGGCGACACGACGCGTTTTGCTAGCCGGTGTGATCGATGGCCCGGAACCGGCACGATTTCCATTTGCGAGCCGCGCGGAAGATTAATCTTTGTTTGCCGGACCCGAGATTTTTATTTCGCAGGCTGGTTTTTGGGAATGGAACGGCCGTGCTTTCTGCGCTCGCGGTTGAATGGCTTCCGTTATCCGCAACGGAATCTGGGGCCTCGAATAAACCGTCGCGTTAGCAACGATCGCGGCTGACTTATGGACGAGTGACTTTTTACTGTGAAGGGATGCGACAGGGACGCGATAAGGACCCTTTAAGCGCGTCAACGATAATGCCACATGGCCGATTACCGATCGCCCGCAGTGAAGAGAACGCGTTAAACTGCAACGTGTCCGGTGATCCGGCGGACGCGGTTTTACATTCGCGACTCGTCGTATCGGGACTGACTCACGGTCGCGCGTTTCCGTCTCGACGGAAGAGCGCCTCTGAGGATATTAAACGGCAGTGGGATTTTATAATCCTACGAAGTACTCGAAACTTGCGATCGCGGCGTTTTTTACGCGAGAGACCTCTTCTCCCTCTCTCTTTTTCTCTTTCTCCAACTCTCTCTCTCTCTCTCTCTCTCTCTCTCTCTCTCTCTCTCTCTCT